GAAATTGCATTGGCAAGTGCATCAATCCACACACAAACATCATGATATTCTGAATTGCAACTTTCAGATGATGAAGAAAGGCTTGAAAGCTCATTAAGGAACCCATCATCCATCCTGTTTCTTCCTAACCTAGGTTCAGGTGCAGCAACAAAGTTGTAACCACATAGAAGAACACATAATAAAAACTAACAAAAGTATGTGAGAATTAACAGATTCCCACCACTGTTATCCCAACCAAAACAAGGCAATCCTTCTAATTATTAAGAATTCATGTGAAAGGCAAAGATACTTTTCAACAAAACTTGGAAATTTCTAATTTTAATTATTTCAAGATTAAAAAACAAAAAATCAGACCAAATACAACTAGTCTTTGGTGTATTCATCATTGAGGAAGAGAGATAAAGCACGCTACAAAACATTAATAATCTACCATAAACTTACTAAGTACTTCATCAGCTGTTATCCTTGCTGAAATATCCCTTGTCAGCATTCTCCCAACAAGATCTCGTGCAGGTTTAGATATTGATTCCCACATCCCGGTTTGGAACTCTAGCTTGGAATTCTTAATAGCCTCAAAAACTGCTTCTTGTGAATCCCCTTTGAATGGAAGAACACCAACCAACAGAGCATGCAGGAGCACTCCAGCACTCCATATATCCGCCTTTTCTGAGTATCTACCCAACAACACTTCTGGTGCAACATATGCAGGGCTCCCAGCCAAACCCGTCAAGTTCTGACCTGCAATGCAAATTTCTAGACAATGAGGCTATGCATAAATTACTCATGTATGCATGTATGTATCTTTTACTTATGTGTGTGTATTTATATATATGTCAATTGAATTACTGATATTTTTAAATGCTTAAAAATTAAACAAAGTGACCTTAGAGTATGAATGGTTAGCTTCAAACTATTATAAGCATTTTCTCTAGGACCTCTTATTCTTAGACCGCTAGCAAATTTAATTGAATACTGAACATAGTAAACTTAAGGGAGATGACCATTTGAACTCTCCAATTTTTACTCCTATGTACAGGGTAACATTAGTAAAGTACAATTCAGTTGAAAGCTCATCATGATGAACTTCTTCAAACTTGCCTAGACATTTTTTATTAACAGAATGACTAGGATGGAATTTTACACAAGGAAGGTTGTGTAAGGATTCTATTCATAGAAGTTAGCACATATATATACCATAGGATAACAAAAAAAGAAGATCATCCAAACAGGTTTAACATATTACCCTTAGAAATTCTCATGGCCAGGCCAAAATCAGCAAGCTTTATTTCCCCCGAAGCAGTAAGCAGAATATTCTCAGGCTTGATATCTCTGTGCACAACTCCCATATCATGACAATACTTGATGACCAACATCACTTCCTTAAGTATATTAGCAGCCCGCTGTTCAGAACAAGGGCCCTCCCTAAACATCTGGTCGACAAGTCTTCCCCCAGAGCACAATTCCATCACCAGATGAGAGCAATCAGCTTCCTCATACACTGCCAGCAGAGTCACAACCCCAGGATGCCCAGACAAGTGCTGCATTATCTCCACCTCCCTGTAAACAGTCTCATCCCCCTTCTTCAGAGTCTTACACGCATACTCCGCGCCGCCAACAAGAGACCTACACAACGAAACAGATCCATACTTTCCTTGCCCGATCCTCACCCCAGTAACATAATCATCTTCAATCTTGTTCTTCCTCCCCATCTGGGTAGCCACGTCAATGCAACCTATCTTCCTCTTTAGGCCTCTTCCCACGGTCATCAGAGACAATGTCCCACAAGGAGGAGCAGTGGCAAAACCCGCCACCCTACTCTTGTAGGAACCAGCTGAGTCTATCTTAGTATTTTCTCTACACCTCTTCTTCAACCTCGAACAATCTTCCATCGAATAATGGGTCTCAAAATTGGACGACGGAGACCCATGATTGGATCTCAAAATGTCAGTCAATTTCGAGGACTCGTCACACTCACTTCCTTTCCTTTTCATCCTCATAGCATCTATCAGTAAAGTACCAACGCAACACCAATCTTTGTGTTGATCACGTACCCAGTGTGCAAAATCCGATTTTTGCCGCAAGACACAATTCTGCAGTCAAAATAGAGAAAGATCAGTCAACGAATTCTAGTCAGATTGATCATGAATGAACGCAAAACCACAAGGAAAGCATCCAAACACAAATATTAAACTTCAAGAAAGTAAATCGAACCCCGAAGCTTTCTCGCAACGTAATGGCGCCAAAAAGCGCCATCACATCACGAGACCCCTGCAAGACAAGAAAAGAAGATGCCAGAACATAGAAAGAAAAAGAAACAAACCTTCGCAATCCCAACCAATGATCCTGTAATGCGTTGCGGAGAGTATAAGCAATGAGAAAAAAGTCACAAATTGGGAAACTATTACGACGTAGTTTCTCAATCAGGGACTGAAACCCTAAAAATCTGCAATCAAAGTTTTAGGGGAATGCGCGAACGACAAGCATAGAAAAAAGAAAGAAAGAAGACGGGTACTCTCTGAGAGTCACACTCTTTTTGCTTAGCTAATGTTGTTTCCTTTAATATAATATAGGATGTTCCAGTTTATGTTCTCCTGCGTGCGTCACTATTTCAAGGGGTGTATTTGATTACGATTTTAAAAAATTTCCTCAATCAGTGGAATAAAAAAATCAACAGGGTCAAATTAGGTAAGAAAAATAATGAACTAGTAAGAAAAAAAATGAATATCGTCAAATTATATAAGAAAAAGCATTGAACGTGTATAAAGTAGGAACTGTTTTAAAAAACTAATGAATAACTTTAATTTGGATTTTGAAATGGTAACGCAAATATTGAATTCTGGAAATTATTGGTATTTATTCCCTTCTTTATATTGTTCAATACCAGATTAATTACCATTTAATAGTCATCATATTAACGAAATTGGACTTTTTTCCTTACACACGTTTCTCATTTTCATCATATTAATTACCATTCAATAGTCAACAAATTTCACATAAATGTTTGACTTTTTTGCAATTTATGCTTTTTTTAAAATAGAAATCGCAACTAACGTATAGTGAAAAATATTTTTTTCCTTAAAAATGCAGTTTTTGAAAGAAAAAAAAATTCAAACAAGTCCTTAATTTTCACCTCTGCTATTTTTTAAATTGTTGAAAAGTTAAAAAAAAAAAAAGATAAAAAGCTTTTTTTGTAATATTGCTCTTAACTTTGATCCAATCCGATACGCCAATCCCATGGGAATAACAAATTGGATTTTTTCCTTACACACATTTCTCATTTTCATCATATTAATTACCGTTCAATATTGTCATCATATTAACATTGAACATGCATAAAGTAGGAGTTGTTATAAAATACTAATAAATAACTTTAACTTGGATTTTGAAATGGTAATTCAAATTTGAATTCTGAAAATCATTGGTATTTATTCTCCCTTTATGATTGGTCAATACCAGGTTAATTACCATTCAATATTGTCATCATATTAACGAAACTGGACTTTTTTCCTTACATAATTTTCTGATATTCTTCTTGACTTTCTCCCTAATTTGTTCCCTAATTTCTATTTAATTTCTATCTTAGGAATTTCCTTCATCCAATACCTCACTTTGTTTTTCTTGAATTTCCTTTAATTGATTTATCTTAATTCATATCAGGAATTTTTTAAAAATAAAATAATATATACTTGATAATGGGTGTTTCCATTCCTTCACAATAATAATAAAAGTGCTCTGTTTCACTTCTACGAGAATAAGTGTTTATTTGGATGAGTTTTCAAAAAAAAATTATACCTTACTTATTTTAGAAGTGCTTTTTATAAAAGTTAAAGTTATTTAGATTTTTAAAAAATATTTAGTTTTTGAAAAAATATTTGACTTATGTTATTTTTAGAAGTTAAAATTTTCAGTTTAAAAAAATAAATAGATTTTTGACTTTTTTTATGACTTTTGCTTTTTTTAAAAGCAGGAGAGAGAAAAATTCATCCAAACGGCCCTAATAAATTTTTAATGACATGGAAGAAAATGAGAGAAAAGATTAAGAAAGAGATGACGCTAATTTTTTTAATTTTTGATTTCTATTATTTTAGTTGCTTTATTTTTCTTCTCTTGAGTCAATTGAGAAAAGATTTGAAACTTTAAAAACTTTTTTCCATTTTCTCCTCTCAATCCAAAGATGAGGTTAAGGCATGACAACTATGGGATAGGATATTGTGACACCCAAGTTATGTTACACCCATGTGACACCCAGTCAATCTCACCGTTAGATCGCTTATGTTGATCCAACGGTTATATTTATTTCCATCTTTGTATGGTCATGATTTCCTAAATTTAAAGTGAAAGCATTAAATATGGGAAATCATAACCATACAAAGGTAGAAATAAATATAAAATATTAAATTTGGGAAATCATGATCATACAAAAATGGAAATAAATATAACCGTTGGATCAACATAAGCGATCTAACGGTGAGATTGACTGGGTGTCACATGGGTGTAACATAACTTGGGTGTCACAATATCCTATCCCGACAACTATATATTAGCATATGATATTAAAAAATAAAATGGTCAAGGGAATGAGAAAAAAAAATGTGAATTGTGAAGACGATTGAAAAATAATAGTTAAAAATGTGAATTGTCGTAAAAAAACTATATAATAAAATATTATAAATTTTTATATAATTTTTTAAATATAAAATTTGGTATTTCGGTTAAAATCTATTGTCATTTGCAATTTTATACAGTTGATGAAATCTATAAACAAAAGTAAAGAAATAGATTTTTATTGTGTTATCAAACGTAATTTTGATTATCGGAATAAAAAAAATGTGTTATCAAACGTAATTCTGATTCTCGGAATAAAAAGAAAATATGTTAACAAACGTAATTCTGATTCTCAGAATTGTTCCAAGGCACAGAAATAGAAAAGAATCATTCCTTTTCAGAAACAGTGTCAGGAATCAGAATGATTGTCATGCGCAGCCTAATTGTCGTTGATTATATATCAGAGCAAACATATAAAAATGCACTAACTTTTTCGACAAACATTTCAAACATAAAATTTCACTTTCCTCCCACAACATAATAAGTAATGAACCAAACATTATTCTAATTGATCTCAGAATATGTTTTTAAATGAATAATATAAATCATCATATATTATATTATTAAAAAATAAAAGGTATGTGTAATTATGATAAATGTTTGACATGTCAAATTTTTTGCCCCAATTAAAGTTAAATTCTGGCTCCGCCATTGTGTGGAGCCATTCTTTTGGACGTTAGACGGTTTTTTTTTTTGTTTTCTTGCCCATCAGTGGCGGAACCACATTATGCTTAGGTAGGGTCGGAGCCCTAGCTACATTTCAGTAAATTTTATTTATTATATATAATTATATAAGTAACTGTAATTTTTTCTTTTTTTATAATAGAAATCTAAAATAACTTATAGTGAAAAATATATCTTTTAACTTATAAAATGCAATTTTTGAAAAAAAAAATTCATTCAAACGGGTCGTTAATCTTCACCTCTGCTAGGTGGAGGCGGCGGCGGCGGCGGTGGTGGCGGTGGTAACTGGCCTACAGCAGGACCAGCCCTCATCTCCTCCAACATGACTCTCATCATCATCATGTTCGCCTCGAGGACATCCTCAGTGGTCCTCCGGTTCGCTTCACGAACCTCTTCTGCGGCTATCCGGTTCGCCTTGCGAACAGCATCCATCATTTCCGCGTTGACCAATCTAGTGGCCTCCTGATCGGCTAACCTATCCGCCTGCATCTCAGCCAATGCAGTCAGGATAGGATCGGGTTGATCCTCAGAAGTCTCTTGTGTTCTCCCGGACCTTACCATGACTCTACACAAGTTACACAAATTATGAGTTGATCAGGCCCATGCAATGTGATTACATATGCATTATCTTAATAAAATTCGACGGAGTAAACACACAAGACAGACACAGCAAAACATCCTAGCTATTGCAATACATACAGGCTTTCCCCTCGACCCATTGCTCTGATACCATAAATGTAACACCCCGTATATATCCGGTAATGTTATCATACTATCGTATTAAGCTGCGCTTAATTAAAAATTGTGGAATATCTTTTTCTTTTCAATTATGAAGTCATTATCGTTACCAACTTGCTTATTAATCAATTAATAAAACATCGCATGTATGCAATTGCAATAAAACAGCTAACTGAAACACCTCATTAATTAAAATAACATAATATATGTCTCTAGTCACGAAACTACAACACGTAAACCGAACCAACTAGCAGTTTATACAACTCGACTCAAAAGTACTAACAATATAATGGCATGGACAACTCCCATGCTCACCCAAATAAGGCAACAAAGCCCAACATAAGTCTCAACTCAAAACATAAAGAGAAGAAAACATAAACTGCATCCCATCCAGTTATGACACCAATACAACATAAATATCATAATCAGCTAAGCTCTGGCCTCCTGCCGCCAGAGGCATCAGTCACCATACTACCTAAACCTGAAATAAGAATTCCCCAAACGTGGGGTGAGATCTCTAAACAAGAAATCTCAGTAAGACAAGGGGTCCTCAAGGATCTTCCACCCGAAGCTCACTTACATGTGCAATATAAGTTGAAAAGCAGTTCATCAATATCATTTCTAAAATAGTGCAAGCAGCAGATAATCATGTCATGTGTGTCAATTCTATTATACTGGCCAGAGAAATGCAGGATTTATATACGTCTAATACCCACAAATAGTGCAAGATGCTACTTGCATCCACCCCGGATCACCGTCTTGTATGACGCTACATACTCAGGCTTACCGTCAAGATGGAACAACACATGCATATTAAAAGCCATTATCACATAAAGCTCAACAACATTTCATATATCAAAAACATGTAACACAACATGCATATAACCATACCCCCATGGGACATGGTGGAACCACAACATGGCTAAAACGAGGACACGAAAGCTTACCTTGCAAGCTAACACCCAAAGCCAAGAGTCCACAGCTCAAAGTCCAAACACAGCAGATTCACAATCTGTTATGGACCAATAATATATCAATAAACATGCACCGCAAGCATACAATATTAAGACACGCCTTTCCATTACGTTTTACGTCTTAAGGCTTCTCACAAGACATAAGCCCTTAATCATATGAATCTGACTTATATCAATTAATTACAGAAGTTCAACTTCCTCAAACTAGGGTCCACAAACCCATAGATCAGTTCTGGATGAACAGTACGTTACTGTTCCTCGCAAACCCAGAATATCTGGATATTCCTCGGGGACATATCCGGATATGCAATATCCGGATATCTCACAGGCAATATCCGGAGA